ACCCCATGGAGTAGAAAGTGCAACAAAGTGTTTGATATATTTTTTACGCCAAGATATTGGGTTCTTGTTGAGAAGCTGGAGCACAAAGAGACCTCCTAAACTGTGGGAGACAATAATTACTGGCTTCCCTCCATTGTTTCTGCTTGCTTTTTCTACGAGATCTTTCAAGTCCAGCAAAAACTTGGAACCAACCTTTGATGGGTGCCCTTCTGCAGCCAAGCCATACCGAAAATCATATGGGGCTCCAAATAGAGTTTCACCACTAACATATCCAATTTCTTCTAAAGATTCCACTAGTGGAGCCATGTATGCCGTGGCTCGCCTGCAATCCATGTTGCAGAGATATATTGTATTGGTTGTTAAGATTGAAATTAAGATTAAAGGCAGCAGCCAATTAATTAAATATATCATTTCACACTCAATTAAATAAACTTTTTTATTTTTTACAATTGATTATAGAAATTAAACCTTGAATATTAATGTAAGTAGACGATATATGCCAGTTTCACCAAAATAAATATATAACACAAGAGGCTTACTTGAGACTGGGGTCGAGGTAGAGAAGGGACTGAGTGGAGCCAAAATGTAGCACTCTGGTTTCAACCCCAGGAGCATTACGGTAATCATCAGTATCTTTATCATAGAAGAGCATCATACGATCAGCAAAACATTGAGTGAATGGTGCTAACAGGACCCCGGGATCAAACCATAGCCTGAACCAACCTCCCTTTTGCTTCAAGATTGGGTACCAATGGCAGAACAGGCTCGAGGGCTTGTAGCCACGGGTTAGTCTGGCTTCTAGTTGGTTTCCACCATTTCCTGGTACTAAGATCACGGGGTGGAGATTGCTGGTTGCTTGACAAGCGTAGAACATCATGGACATACAAAGTATTCCCAGCTTGAGCATCAATCTCTTCATGTCTTGTTTTCTACTAAGACATGAAGTGAGATAGAGGAATGGCTAGGTCTTTATGTGCTCACATGACTTGCAAGTTTCAGAACCTTGTAATCTCTCCGACGACTTTGAGGTGGAGAAAGTGACACGTTGTAGAGTAAAGGTTTGGTCCTTCCTTATCCTCCGATGACCTCTCATTATTTTGTACAAGGCCCAAAGGGAAGCTCAGCTTGAAAACAAACATGGGCTTGATCGAAGGAAAATGCAAACACTTGCCTACACCCCCAATTCACATGAGCCTACCCATGCAAGTTGAGGAACGTTGCTGGATTAAGGTGGAAGCCCATTGCACTCTACATGATTACAATTTACAAGCCTCGCTGATATTTTTAGGTGGTGGAGGGTGGAAATGAATCCCTCGTATTCATGTTTTGAAGAAAATATAACCAATCATGTTTCAGGCTTTATTATTGATTTTGATTCAATGATTTAGATTAATTTAGGAAATAAAATAATAAGGAATTGAATTATTTCTATATTTATCATAAACTAAATCATGATCATTTAAATTAAATTAACTGTGTAAAATTAATAGATACGATGGTCATATTGTTATATAAACATGAAGAAATCTCAGTTTCTTTTGTTTTTATTCTTGCTGAATTAATATATATAAAAACTAAACACTAGACAACAATTTCATTTGAAAAATATTGTATAAATTACCAATTTATCTACTATTATGAAAAAAAAGTAAAATATTGAAGAAATACAAAGACGCTTAATAAAACATATTATAAGACAGTAGTAAGCTTGAAAACATGTACCGATAATTAGTGTTTTTATTAGTTTTTAATTATTATTTTGAGATAACAAATAAAAACATGTCTAGCTAGAAGAATAAAAATAAAATAAAATAATTTATTTTTTAAACAATTTTCAAATAAGTTCCTGTATTAGAGCATCTCCAATCCAAAATGCTATTTTGAAAAGCTAAATTGATAAAATAGCATTTTGAATAGTATAAATATAGCTTATCTTACCATATCTATTCCAATGGAAAAAAGCCATTTGAAGAGCCATTTATATTGGAGTGAAAAAAATAAGTGTTTTATTATTTCTTAATATTATTTAATGTTATTTTTTTCCACATGTCTACATTTAATTAGTCTATTTTTTTAGTGGTCCCACTTTGTTGGTTTTGGCTCTTTAAAGAGATATGTAGAAATAGCATTTGTGGGAGAAAAAAGGCATTTTAGCATTTTGTTTGGCTTCTCCATTGGAGTATGCAAAACAAAAAAAAAAACAAAAATATTAATTTTTTATTTTTGACTATTCACTTGACTTCTCCATTGGAAATGCTCAATAAAATAAAATAATTTATTTTTTAAACAGTTTTCAAATAAGTTTCTGTATTAGACATGTCTTTTCTTTTTCAACCACTCCATTTTTTCTATTCAAGAACTTTCCTAATCAACGGAAGCGCTATAAAGATGCTAAACTTTGACATATTACCCACGCAGGAAAATCGGTCTGCTGTCTTAATCTCCTTTTACCTAACGACCACACATGGTTCAGCCAGCTAATCCATCGGCTTAGTTCCATGCTCAATACCATGGGCACATCTCTCATCGAAGAACAGAACCAACAATCTATTTCTGTTCCAGAAATAAGAAGAAGAAGAAGCAGCGTTTCATTTCCCTTTGTTTTCTCTTACCTGCGCGTGGTGTTGTTTCCGAACATGTAAGCAGTGGCACTAAGCGTTCCGAAAAGACTATCTGTTGTTGACACATTAGACTTGTTGAAGATTTAGTTGTGGGAAGGGGCTGATGAAGAATCTGGATCATTGGATTATTCGATTATGAATCGTTGGATGAATTTAAATCGACAATAATTTTTTTTGATCAACTCAGTGAGTCAAGCTAGATTTAAGAAGAAGTAAATAATTGACCAATGGTTTCTAGAAGCTATATACAATGGGTACCCGCGGATTTAGGTGAAGCTGGCTAGTCGTTAATGCTCGCGTTTGCTTCTCCATTCCATAAATTGTTCCTTGAATTAGGCTTCCTCACCGACCCAGCTTGGAATAACTGGGCATGCAAAATCTCATTCCATCAATTTATTATGCAGCTGGTCGGGCACCGCCACATAACTAGCCAGCTCGGTTCCTTCAATGATTCAGCTTCCGACTTTGAAAGCAAATCCAGCCACTTGGCATTCCTTTTTTTCTCTTAAAAAAAAAAAAACTTGTATATGCTTTGCTTACTCAGCATTGCTCCTGAGCATCAAAGACTTCGCAGCCATTAAACACACTGTTTTTAGCTTTACAGTTTGCATGAAAACGTGTTATTTCTCAACTATATTTTTAAAACCTGACCTAGAACAACCTTTGAGTCTTGAGCTGAAGTGATCAATAATATTTTTAAAACCTGACCTAGAACAACCTTTGAGTCTTGAGCTGAAGCGATCAATAATATTTTTTTTAAAATAATTAAAATAATATTGTTTTAATAAAAATATATTTTTTTAAAAAAATTAATTGATTGATAACTGATTTTTTAACACATAAAACCTAAATTGGCCAAATAACTCAAGTTTTTTTTAAAAAAAACTTGTAACAATTCAGGCTATAAATTGATGATATGTATTATATTAAATTCCGATTTAAGTTTTGAAATGATTTAATATATTAAATTCCCTTCCCATAATGTTAATACTTCCATGCTTTAGATTTTCCATGATCAAGATTCTTTTAAGCTCAAAATTAATAATTTGGTATGAGCAGTACATTTTAATACATCATCTCTAGCATAGTAGCATGAGAGGATTTATCTCAATTAGCAGAAATTATTTGGTACAATATTAGATAATACAGTTGAGACGGGAGTGTTTATGGCAAAGGGATAGCTATTAATTAGTCCAATTAACTGTCAGCGGCCGAGCCCGGGACACTCGGTAGCTTGCCATGTAGCCAGATCGTTGTTCTAGAATACAAGTTACAAAGACAACTCACCAGTCGGATAGGCGTCCAACTTCAGCTGCCGTACGGCAACTAAAATTTCTTCTCGTACTTTTCAAGCGTTAATAGCACAATTTATTTTTATATTTTTAAAGTATTTTTTAAAATATTTTTATTTTTTAAAATATTTTTTATTGATTTTAGATAGTTTACATACAGATATTAAAAATAAATTTTAAAAAATAAAAAATATTATTTTAATATATTTTCAAATAAAAAATATTTTAAAAAATAATAATTACTATAATACTTGGATAAATTTAAGATTCATCTAATCATCTCAAGTTAATGTAAAAATTATTATATTAATTTAAGTTTATGGCTGTTGCAGTTGTTATTAATGATTTAATTAAAATCTAGATTAAATTTAACAAGGTTAACTAAATCACAAGTTAACTAAATTATATTAAATTTTTTTAATATTAATTTAGTCAGGTTTAAACTTGATTGATTAGATGAAATAAACTAAGTTATGAGTCAAATTATAAGAAGAGTATTGGGTTTCATTGAGTCAATATATTTTTCTAATACAGTTTAAAACTTTGGATTTAACAACTATATGAAAAGGCTATTTTCAAGGTGGTAATGAGAAATTAGGAAATAACGACTAGTGTCCAAATGAATATTCATCCATTAGATGAGTCAGCAGAGAGGCAGGCAAGATATGGAATGCTGATTACAAAATTCAAGGATAAAACTCGCCTTTGGTCAACCTTTTCCAGCAACTTGTCCGTTTTAGTCTGCTTCATCTGCTAAAATTCTCCTCACGTTCTTATCCAGTGTGTGCGTTGAAAAACAGAAAAGAAAATGAAAAGTCTAAATCCAACGCCTGCCTTCGTTTCATACCAGCAGCCTAATTGTTTTCATCGATCATCTACTCTACATATATAACCAAATCCCACCTAACCTAACTCCGCTGCCAATTCTCCTTCTCTCTGTCTCTCAAAATTTGCAACGATTTTTTTTTTTTCTCTCTGTCTCTCAAAATTTGCAACGATATATATTTTTTTTTAACAAATATCCCATTTTAATTCACAATCTTGATCACCTTCCAGAACCATTGTTATTAGCTAGCTAGAATCCAACATGAAGACAAAAGCACACAACCAAAGCAAGTTCATGCGAGTCATTACAATCCCATTGAGAGTTTTGTGTAAGGCAAGGGATGTTTATGTTAAGAGCATGACAGATTGCTCGATGGGGATGAGATATGGCCCTTCCATGGTCTCGCGAGCAGGACAACACCCTCCCCTGCCCAGGAGTTTCAGTGTTAGCTCATCAAGGTCTGATCATGACGGTGAAGATTACAGAGAGCTTGTTAGAGCTGCTTCTGCCAGGAGCTTGGGTCACAGCAATGAAATTGAGATGTACATGCAGCTATTGAGGCAGCAGCAATCATCGATGATGATGGGGTCCAAAAAGGTGTTGCCAAAGAGTTGCAGTGTTGGAATGGGGTTCATGGGCAAGATTGATGAAGACAAACCATGTGTTTTTGAAGCAGGTGTTGTTGATGTAAAGCCACAGTTGGGTCCGAGAAGCAGTAGCTGTGCTGTTGGAAAAGGAAGGGTTGCCTTCTGAATTGTTTGTGAGGGATCCACCATGAGGAGAGGTAAGTCAAGGGGCTCTCCCTCATGGTTAATTTGGCTCAATTCTTTCCTCCTGTTGTTGATGCTTGGGTAATGGACTGTAATGATCGCTCATCATGGAAGTATATGAATTTTGGGCTTTTGGGAATATCTGCATCTTTGTATATTCAAATGAATGAAATTTGAATCCATATTGAAGAAGAGAAGAATGAAGAACATCATCTCATTGTTTATTTCCAACTCCATTCCTCCTTAGATTTTCTCTTAATTTTTTATCATTCATTTATCAAAATAAATAAAAAAGAAAATATTTGCAAGTTAAATAACTATATTTAGGACATTTTTTTTTTAATATTCTATTAAAATGAAAAATGAAGAATTTCCTCTAGGACAAATGACGTGGCTAGTTGGAGACAAGTGTGACGGCGTGGGGATGGTGGTGAAGGATGGCGTATGTTTGTGATATCAAAATGATAATACTAACAGTAGTGACAAAGTGATTGATGATGTGTCAAAATAAATTATGTTTAAAAATGATATTTAGATAATATTTAATTAAATGTTTATCTTAATATTTTTTTTCTTTATAGCTCAAAAAGTATATAATTGATGATAAAAATTCTAATATCTACAAAATAATCTCTAACCTTTTGTTTTGACAAGTGGATGGATTGAAATCATTTGATCTTGATAATATTAATGAGAAATAAAAATTTATAACACTTCACTAATAAAAAATACATATAAAAGATACATATACTTTATAGACTATTAATAATATGAAAATAATAATAAACTATTAAAATATTTTTTATACGTCAATAAATATAGGATGATGAGTATATATTGATAATTTATATTAATAGGCTTAAAATAAACCTTCATGGTTATGATATGATTTTTTAACGACTTCCAAAACCAATAGGGTTAGGTGTATTGCAAAGTCTAGGATAGATGAGTTTGTTGGTTTATAATCTTTGGGTTAATACATGATTAAATCCAAGTATATAAATTTTTAGATTCATGTTAATTTGACAATAGCTGAATTTAAGTATATTGAGTTTGATAAGTTACTACTCAAGTACTTGTTAAATCTTTGTTGATTTGGGCTAAGCATATGAATAAATTCAAAGATATTTATCAGATCCAAATTGACTTGTGTTCGACACATAACCAAACCCAAATATATTGGGTCTGATGAGTTGTTAAATATATGTAATCCTGGATTCAGTATATGGTTAAACCCAAATGTAATGGGTATAATAACTTACCAGATCTATACTAACTTGGATTCAACACATGACAAAACCCTAGTATATTGGGTTTAATAATTTGTTAGATTTATATTTACTTGGGCTTAACACATAATTGAACACTAGTATATTATATCCGACTAAATCCATATTTTCTTGGTTTATCATCTTATGATGGATTCATGTTCTTTCACAAAGATTAAAATATTAAGTTAAAAAGTCTGACTCATTAATAATGATTGATATAGAGGTTGCATGATGCTAGAAGTGGTGAATATGCAAGACTGAAAAATAAATAACATGCTTAATAATTTTATTCCTTTATATTTTTTTAGGATTTTTCATTACTTTTATTTTATTTTTAGGTTTTTTAGTTTGTTTAAATTGTTTTTTGGTTTATTTATGGAGTTGCAAACCTCATAAAAAGACCGACTACTTTAAAAAAATATTCAATAATAAAATTATGAATTAGGATTTATCTATAATTTTTTCTTTTGAAAATTTTATATTCTTGTGCGTGAGTATTTTCTTTATTGTTTATGTTTACATAAGTTGGTATCATAGTCCAACAATTTTTAGTGATTAGTTATTGTATGTTGTTAAATAATCATGTATTAAAAATATAGTTACAAAACAAGATGTGATCATAGAAGGTGATGAAGTGTTTTTCCCTCGAAAAGAAGAATTTTAAAAATTAGTAATAGAACATATATAAAAACAAATGCAACATTGACTTCCCAATTCAATTAATAGTGATAAAGTGGCAAAGGCAAGTTGAAGAATAGTCATGTCAATTAACATAAATGAAGGAGAGAAAACTATATATATATATATATATATTATGATGATTACAATAATAATTATATTATATATAATAAAAATAATGATAATGATGATATGATCAATGATGTTCTCATTAATAATTTAGAGGTTAAGTACAAAAAAAATATAAAAAACATGGAAACTTAACAAAAAAAAATATTTATCTAAACTATGTTGATCTTTCTTATTACAAGTTTATTGTTCTGATTAAGATAGATGTGTTTAAGAGGTATGTGAATATAATACATATTAATTAAGTAAGTTTGAGATTTTCAATCTACTATTACTACTACTTTATAAGTCAATGGAAACAAAATAATTTATTAATTGTTGTTTCTTATATAAATTTTAAGATGAATGATCAAAGTTGATTTCTAAAATTGTTATATACTTGAAAAATAAACAAAAAAAAGTTAAGGACCTTTAATTAGACATTTACATGATCGAGACAACAGTAATTTAAACTCAAGAAAGATTTTTTTTTCAACCTAGAGAGACTGATGTAAGAGGTTTTTATGAAAAATTATTTTTCTTTAATTATTTTTTAGGAAATTAAATAATATGCTTAATAATTCTATTTTTACTAATTTATTTAGGATTTTTGTTACTTTTCTTATCTTTTTAAGTTTTCTAGCTTGTTGATTTTTGTATTTATTTAAAGAATTGTAAAATTTTTGAAAAATAGACTACCTGAAAAGAAATATTCAATAATAAAATTATAAATTAGAGATTTTATTTTATTCATTCTTTTAAAATAATTATAATCCCGTGGTTATTGTTTTTCTTGTGTTATTTTATCTCTATAATAATGGTGAAGGCTTGATAGTTGAAAAGGTGATAAAATGATGGTGGCAATTTTAGTGATTTTTAAGAGTGAGTGTTTGTAGCTGAAAATTTTCCTTTTAAATTATTGCAATTAACAATTGCAATAAGTTTACATGAATGTCATATGTATAAAAGTCTCACCCTGCGTGCATGGATTCTAGAATTCAATATATCTATAAGACGTTAATGTTAATGGAGTCTATCGTTTTAAAGGAAATAATCTTTTTTCCTTAAAATGCTTTTCTTTCAAAATTAATACTATTAAAAAATATTTTCTGTCTTATTTTTTTTAGTAAAATGAAATAGTAAAAAAAGTGACTGAATCATATTTAGATTTGTTAAGTAAAATGATAATGTAAAATTAACTCTAAGATTTAATTTAAAATTTAAATTATATAAGAATCTATGTTGTAGGACCAAATCAAATTAAAAAGTTTAAGAGAAACCATGCAAGAAATTATATTTTTTTGAATGGATTTTTATTTAAAAAAATTAATATATAATTAAATAGTATAACATGACACGAGATTATATTTTTTTTATCCGTATCAATTTTTCTGTTTTTTTATTTATTTAATTTTTGGTTACAATTGATTTTTTTAATACTTCTTGACATAAATGATTTATCTATTAGTTTTATTAAACATAAATGTTAAGTTTTTAATTCGTGTTTGAAAATTTCCTTAATTTTTCTTTAAAAAACTCAACACTTGTAATTTTTTTTTCATTTAATTTAACTTTTGATCCGCCCGCAGCTGAGGGCGGACGCTAAAGACTAGTAAATACTTATGTCCGTATGAATATTCACCACTAGATGAGTCCGTAGCGAGACAGGCCTGAAATGGAATGTTAATCCCATTGTCCAAATGGTACCCGGAAATGTGTCCTTTCTAGTCTGCTTCTGCTTCTTCTGCTCACTCTCCACATGTTAATCTCTTAGGTTTTCTTCTCCAGTGTGTCTGGCAAAATAAAAATAAAAAAGAAGTCCAAATACAAAACCTGCCGGCTGCCTTCGATTATACCTGTAGCATAATTGTTGTCATCATCTCCTCTACATGTATAACCAAACCCCACAAACCTAATCCCATTGCCAATTCTTCCTCTCCCTGCCTCTCAAAATTTGCAACGATATTTTTTGTTCAAGTATCCCATTTTAATCCACTACCCTGATCACTTTCCAAAGCCCTTTGTTGTTAGCTAGCTAGCTAGAATACAAGATGAAGACTAAAGCACAGAACCAAAGCAAGTTCATGCGAGTCATGACAATCCCAGTGAGAGTTTTGTGTAAAGCAAGGGACGTTTATGTTAAAAGCATGACAGACTTCTCGATGAGGATGAATAATGGTCCTTCCATGGCCTTGCCCAGGAGTTTCAGTGTTGGCTCATCATCAAGGTCTGATGACGGTGAAGATTACAGACAGCTTGTTAGAGCTGCTTCTGCCAGGAGCTTAGGTCACAGCAATGAAATCGAGATGTACATGCAGCAATTGAGGCAGCAGCAATCATCGATGACGATGGGATCCGAAAAGGTGTTGCCGAAGAGTTCCAGTGTTGGGATGCGTTGCATGGGAAGGATTGATGAAGACAAATCATGTGTTTTTGAAGAAGTTGGCGTTGATGTCAAGCCACAGTTGGGTCCAAGAAGCAGAAGCTATGCTGTTGGAAAAGGAAGGAATGCCTGTTGATTTGTTTGGGAGGGATTCACCGAGTTAAAAGAGTTTCTTCTTCATGGTGGTGATAATAGCAGTTCTTGTGGTGGTTAAAATGGTGAATTGAATAAAGTACATGTATATGGTAATTTATCTAATTAACTGTTGATTGAAAGGATATTTGAAATAGGAAAAACGTTTTCCTGTAAGTATTTTTCTATATAAAAAAAAACACCCTCAATTCGTCCATTGAACTCCTTTCTTCCACACAAGCCGAAGGATGGTACCATTAAGCTTAAACCCACTTGGAAATCACAGAGGTAAGCATTTGGAGGTATTACAAGTAAAATTCATAAGCAGACATGACCTTAAGTTGAAAAAAAAGACAAATTAAATTTAGGAATTATTAATACAAACGATTATCCAGTTTTGATGGATAATTAATATATATATATATATATATATAAAAGACTAACTCGTGAAGTTCAGAAAAAGAGCCTGAATGATTAGAGAAAAATTAATGGATGAGAGCATGAAACTTGACTAATTATATTAATACAAAAATAAGGGATCCTCTAACGCATATAACTTTCTCGCATGTTGGGTCGTCCTTGTTTTCTTAAAATAATTTAATGCATGACAATTGACTAGGGCTTATGGACTGATGGCCCAGTTTAGCAACAGAAGCTTCCTTTCCAAGAGCAAATCACTATCTGTTCATCCATAACTTCAAGAAAAAGCTTGGTGGCCCAACCAGTTAACACCAACATTTCTTTGGGCCCTGATGATGGAAACTCAACATAAACGGGCCTATTTTGCTATATGGTACAACGATAAGGCATCTTGCATAGTGCTGGACAACCCCATTCTCTTTGACTTCCATCCTTGCAGATAAATACATGCAAAGGGAAACCAATTGAAGGTTCATTCAACTTTAATGTATTAATGGAAGGAAAAATTGTGTATAGTCGGACTTGACGCAGGTACGAAACTTGATAGCACAAAGCTTCCTTCTCACTTATCACGCAATTCTCTTTTTGGAAGCAAATCAGGTCTTCTGAATCTCAAACCCAACCTCAGGCCTGCAACGTAGGAGCAGAGAACTATTAGCAATTTGTTTGATAACTCTTTTACTCACTATATATTTTGCAACAGAATCGAGTTTATAACCATTACCAGCATTTGCGTGTGTATTTAGTGCAAGTAATGGATAAATAAATATTCGTGCATTTATATGCTCCCATATTATTTGAACCACTTCAATGATGTGAACATCTAATCATCTACCCCCACCCTTATATATGCTCCCATATTATTTGAACCACTTCACCCTTATTTAAAGAAACTAGCAGCAGCAGCAGTATTAAGATCAAACCATCGACACATACCTCTCCCATAACAAGAGATGGAAATAACACTTTATGCTGAAAGGGGTTGGGGGGGGGTGGTTAAATATGTGTTCCCTTCATACTGAGCACCATTACTTGTCTCCCGGCCTCCGACCACCTAACTGTCCCCTTGAACCCACATCCAAGTCCCTCACTTTATCCAGAGCAAGTTCGAAACCCCCTCTTCATTCCCCTATCCCAACCTTAACACAATTCACCCACTCACACCAACCCTCATTCCACCCCATCTCTTTCACGTCATTCTATTAATAAAGGCTCAATGCTACCACCCCCAGTGGGATATCCTGCCTGTAAGAGAGCCCCTTGAAGCATGTGGATGGTGACATGTTTGTGTTCAAGGGATTGGGTGAAACAGGTAGATGCTCCAGTTTCTTAAGAAAACTATACTTCATGGACGTGGCAACCATGATGGGGAAGCTAAACACGTTGTGGTTTAATAGTAAACAAAACTTAGCATATGTAGCCCATTTTGGAGGGAAAACAGAGAAGCAGTGGATAACATCCTTAAACCGAGGCTAGGAGAAGAGAGATTAGGGAGCAGAAGTGGAAGAAAATGGGTGCAGCCACTACACAACAGCTTTTATGTGTTGACGTGTGAGAGACAGAGGAGAAAGCAAAGCAAGTGGCACAGATATCAATACTAAAATGTGACTTGACATTCACAGAGGGCATTGGTTGAAGAGGTTTGTGTTGGGTAACCTGAAAACTCACTTTGATTGAAGACCACTTTGTTCAAAGGATTCTCAGTTGAATTAAAATTATGGGGGTAGTTGTGCTAGTTTTTGCAACATCTCAAGAGATGGACAGATCCAACAGGAGTGGCTAGATGATTGGTTAATGTGCCTAAATGCTTGCAACCTAGGGATCTTGGATCTTGGTACCAGTGTCTGAAGAACTCTAGATTTTTCTCTCTTATTAGAGGCTCGACTGGGAAGTTGCTGCATTGTGTTGTGGCACCATTAGTTAGATTCATCTTTCAACTCCTCATCGAGATATTACAAGTCAGAAGCATAAGGTGAGTATTATGAGAATGTTAAATTTTTGTCTAGAGGAGTAGGGAGTTGAGGGAGTTGACATCTTCTCTTCTTAGTCCAGTTTTGATTTTCAATTGGAAATTATTATCTCAATAAAATCTCCCACCAAAGAACAAGATGTTGAAAAGAGAATGACAAAGCAAAACAACAAACTTACCAGTGGAATTTCTCGAGAAGAACTTCAGGATTTCATCAATAATTATGACCTACACGAAAAACAATACATTAGAAGTACAATAAAGGGAAAACGAGCTTAAGATACTTGAAAGGCATTCAATCAGGCACTGCATTCGTCCAACAAAGCAAAAAAAAAATAAAAAAAATCAAAGATGCAAATGGCTTTACATTGTATAAATTCAGGAAAGGTAACCTTTCTCTATTTTAATGCATCCAAGGATAGAATATATAAGCAAAAGGGGCATAGCAGTGGCATCAAGTTCATGAGAAAACTGACTAAGAGGTTGCCATGATCCTAGCTTGTATGCAGTATTCTTAAACTATTCAAACTCCTAACCCAACTTCCATTAAAATCTTAGTCCAACGGAGCTTGTGCCACATCTATGAAGAAGACAGAAGCATCAAACATAAGAAAACATATCACCTACTGTGGAACCTTGACAAGATGTCATTGTTTTTACCATATTAGAAGGTAAAACCAGTACAAGGCAACGTGGTTCTGAGCAAAATTCCAGCAACTATATTCAATGTCTCAAGAATCTCATTGCATACAAAATTATAATCAAAACACAGATACGTATCAGCAAAGAGGAAAACAAGTTCTGAAATTAGTAAACTGGGAAAGTTAAGATTCACTACATACAGGGAAGGAAAGATACAAGACAACTTTCCACTCAGCCCAAGATAATGGCGTTACCTGAAACAAGATATGTTGCAAATTGTTGTATGAGCTCCTTATGGTTATGGGTTAAAATAAAATTATTAACTCATGGGATGACAAGGAAAGAGAACTTACAGAGAAAAGAATAGATAGCGGGTGCACATACAAGATCAGTATATGAAGGAGCATAGTCAGGACAATTGAAGCAACAAGCCATAAATTACTCCAGGGAGGGTTAACACTGTAATAGAAGGGGAAAAACATTACAGCACCAAGTCAGTCCAAATGCAACTTCTATTTTATTTTTTGATGGTGAAAAGGAGTGGGGAAGGGAAAAAATAATCAATTAAATGGGAAAAAAAGTGATCAAATTTGACAAATGTTGATGCAAATTTAGAGAATCTAATGACAAATGTTGATACTAAATTTTAATGCATACAATACCATCAAATTATACGCAATGCATTCTAAGCAACTGAGCAGATTGTTACAACTAAAGCACTAAAATGCTCACTAACTTTGCAATTAAACTGGATACTCACAGAAGAGATTGATTCTCACTGAGATTATTCAAAGCATTAAACATTTCAACAACAACAAGCACTGTCATGGATACAGTTGATGGATGCCTATCATCAAATATACTGCACGGGTAAGTTGTCTCCCTTGTTGAGCAACTGTCAAAATTCATCTGCGATAAATGAATACATAAAAGTTCTGACATGGAATTTGAAGAACATGCACAGCACTAGTAGAAATGAAATATATTTATCTATGCTGAGCACAAAGAAACCAAAACCCAGACATTCCATGCTAACTGAAAAAAGGGCCTAGGACTAGTCATTTAGTTTTTTTCTATTTTTTTTTTTCCCTGTAAGGATCCCATCAATTATATAAGCACAAAACTTAACTAAACAAATTTAATATCAACTTCAAGTTTGGCACCACGAGATTTTCAAGGAAGAATTAATAATGTTAATCTCGAAATAATGAATAATAACAGAAGAGGAGTCGCAGAAAGCTGGAAATATTCAAGCCTCTAGAGAGGGACTCAAAAGACTGAAAGTAAACAAGCACCTGCGGGGCACTGATTATGGGAATTGTCTGGGCACAAAATCGCACCTTAACTTCTATTAACCATTGCCTTGATGATCAGATCTCTAGATCAAATTATATAAGGAGATTGTGCCCAGAAAAGACTCAGCTTTGGCCTATCAGAAAGAACACCCAGTAAACAATTAAATCTTACCAGTTCTTTGTATGGTAGTTTGGGACCCATATCAGAATATACAAACCACCAGACGAACCCCGCAACGGTGGCAAGGCCAACATAAGCTGCATCAACCAGATACTGCATCAAACATTGCTAGAATTCGAAAGCATTCAGCATTAAATTTATTAATTCGAATCATGCACATTATAATCAGAAGAGAAGGTTAACTATTTCTCCTTTTCCAGAATTGCAAAGTGATAAGGACCTGAAGATTGTGATTCCTACATGGTACATTATGAGCTCGAGGATGAAATGCAGAAATCCCTAATTATATATCATACCAATCTCAGGCGTCAAACATTTTTCAGACAAAAGATCCTGTAATTTTTTTTTAAATTACCCTTAATTGCCTGTACTAATTTAATTAGTTTGTCAAACACTTGATTTAATTATTCAAAGAAAAGTTTTTATCGTGAATTTCACTATGATGGTGATGCATTCATGTCATATGCAGGTAAAATACAACCTTGAGTTAATCACTTTGCAGCAAACATGAAATTATCAAATCATACAAAAGTAACGCATATGATCAGTAAGATAGCAATCCACATGCAATAGGTTTATCATTCATCATATATTACCTCCAATTACCAAATATCGAAAAAACAACCACCCACTAACAAC